TGAGAGGGTGTGGTGGTGCATGGTGGTGCTAGTAGTGTTAGTGATGGTGGAGAGGGTGTGTGGTGCATGGTGGTGCTAGTAGTGTTAGTGATGGTGGAGAGGGTGTGTGGTGCATGGTGGTGCTAGTAGTGTTAGTGATGGTGGAGAGGGTGTGTGGTGCATGGTGGTGCTAGTAGTGTTAGTGATGGTGGAGAGGGTGTGTGGTGCATGGTGGTGCTAGTAGTGTTAGTGATGGTGGAGAGGGTGTGTGGGCATGGTGGTGCTAGTAGTGTAGTGATGGTGGAGAGGGTGTGTGGTGCATGGTGGTGCTATAGTGTTAGTGATGGTGGAGAGGGTGTGTGGTGCATGGTGGTGCTAGTAGTGTTAGTGATGGTGGAGAGGGTGTGTGGTGCATGGTGGTGCTAGTAGTGTTAGTGATGGTGGAGAGGGTGTGTGGTGCATGGTGGTGCTAGTAGTGTTAGTGATGGTGGAGAGGGTGTGTGGTGCATGGTGGTGCTAGTAGTGTTAGTGATGGTGGAGAGGGTGTGTGGTGCATGGTGGTGCTAGATGTAGTGATGGTGGAGAGGGTGTGTGGTGCAGTGGTGCTAGTAGTGTTAGGATGGTGGAGAGGTGTGTGGGCATGGTGGTGCTAGTAGTTTAGTGATGGTGGAGAGGGTGTGTGGTGCATGGTGGTGCTAGTAGTGTTAGTGATGGTGGAGAGGGTGTGTGGTGCATGGTGGTGCTAGTAGTGTTAGTGATGGTGGAGAGGGTGGTGGTGCATGGTGGTGCTAGTAGTGTTAGTGATGGTGGAGAGGGTGTGTGGTGCATGGTGGTGCTAGTAGTGTTAGTGATGGTGGAGAGGGTGTGTGGTGCATGGTGGTGCTAGTAGTGTTAGTGATGGTGGAGAGGGTGTGTGGTGCATGGTGGTGCTAGCAGTGTTAGTGATGGTGGAGAGGGTGTGTGGTGCATGGTGGTGCTAGTAGTGTTAGTGATGGTGGAGAGGGTGTGTGGTGCATGGTGGTGCTAGTAGTGTTAGTGATGGTGGAGAGGGTGTGTGGTGCATGGTGGTGCTAGTAGTGTTAGTGATGGTGGAGAGGGTGTGTGGTGCATGGTGGTGCTAGTAGTGTTAGTGATGGTGGAGAGGGTGTGTGGTGCATGGTGGTGCTAGTAGTGTTAGTGATGGTGGAGAGGGTGTGTGGTGCATGGTGGTGCTAGTAGTGTTAGTGATGGTGGAGAGGGTGTGTGTGCATGGTGGTGCTAGAGTGTTAGTGATGGTGGAGAGGGTGTGTGGTGCATGGTGGTGCTAGTAGTGTTAGTGATGGTGGAGAGGGTGTGTGGTGCATGGTGGTGCTAGTAGTGTTTAGTGATGGTGGAGAGGGTGTGTGGTGCATGGTGGTGCTAGTAGTGTTAGTGATTGGTGGAGAGGGTGTGTGGTGCATGGTGGTGCTAGTAGTGTTAGTGATGGTGGAGAGGGTGTTGTGGTGCATGGTGGTGCTAGTAGTGTTAGTGATGGTGGAGAGGGTGTGTGGTGCATGGTGGTGCTAGTAGTGTTAGTGGTGGTGGAGAGGGTGTGTGGTGCATGGTGGTGCTAGTAGTGTTAGTGATGGTGGAGAGGGTGTGTGGTGCATGGTGGTGCTAGTAGTGTTAGTGGTGGTGGAGAGGGTGTGTGGTGCATGGTGTGTGCTAGTAGTGTTAGTGATGGTGGAGAGGGTGTGTGGTGCATGGTGGTGCTAGTAGTGTTAGTGAATGGTGGAGAGGGTGTGTGGTGCATGGTGGTGCTAGTAGTGTTAGTGATGGTGGAGAGGTTGTGTGGTGCATGGTGGTGCTAGTAGTGTTAGTGATGGTGGAGAGGGTGTGTGGTGCATGGTGGTGCTAGTAGTGTTAGTGATGGTGGAGAGGGTGTGTGGTGCATGGTGGTGCTAGTAGTGTTAGTGGTGGTGGGAGAGGGTGTGTGTGCATGGTGGTGCTAGTAGTGTTAGTGGATGGTGGAGAGGGTGTGTGGTGCATGTGGTGCTAGTAGTGTTAGTGGTGGTGGAGAGTGGTGTGTGGTGCATGGTGGTGCTAGTAGTGTTAGTGATGGTGGAGAGGGTGCTGTGGTGCAATAGGTTGGGTAGTATGTGTTAGTGATGGTGGAGAGGGTGTGGTGTGCATGGTGGTGCTAGTAGTGTTAGTGGTGGTGGAGAGGGTGTGTGGTGCATGGTGGTGCTAGTAGGGGTTAGTGATGGTGGAGGGGGTGTGGTGCATGGTGGTGCTAGTAGTGCTAGTGGAGGTGCGGGGGTGTGGTGTAGCTGGTGTGCTAGTAGTGCTTAGTGTGTAGGGGTGTGCGGGGTGGCTGCTGGTGCTAGTAGTGCTAGTGGAGGTGAACGGGGTGGTGCATGGTCGTTGCTAGTAGCTGCTGAGTGGAGGTGGAGTGAGGGGTGTGGCTGGCTGGTGCTAGTAGTGCTAGTGTGAGAGGGTGCTGGGTGGCTGGCTGGTGCTAGTAGTGTAGATGGAGCGGCAGGGTGGTCAATGGGCGTGCTAGTAGTGTTGTGGAGCGTGGCGGGGGTGGTGTGCATGGTGGTGCTAGTAGTGTCGTGATGGTGGAGGTGCGTGTGGGAGTGGCTGGTGCTAGTAGTGTATGGAGGTGCGTGGGTGTGGGTGCATGGTGTGCTAGTAGTGTAGTGGAGGTGGGGGGGTGGGTGCATGGTGGCTAGTATTGTAGTGGGGTGTGCGGGGTGGTGCTGGTTGGTGCTAGTAGTGTAGTGGGTGGGGGGTGGGTGCTGGTGCTAGTAGTGCTAGTGATGGGGTAGGGGTGTGGGTGGCTGGTGCTAGTAGTGTAGTGAGGTGGCAGGGTGGGCTGCTGGTGCTAGTAGTGCTAGTGGAGCGATGGCGGGTGTGGGTGGCTGGTGCTAGTAGTGCTAGTGATGTGGGGGTGGGTGGGTGGCTGGTGCTAGTAGTGCTAGTTGGAAGGTGTGGGGTGCTGGCTGGTGCTAGTAGTGTAGTGGAGCGTGGAAGGGGGTGTGTGGGCTGGTGTGCTAGCTAGTGTAGTGAGTGGGAGGTGGTGGGTGGCTGGTGCTAGTAGTGCTAGTGGATGGTGCGAGGGGTGTGGTGGCTGTGGTGCTAGGGTTAGTGTAGTGGAGCGTGCTGGGTGTGGCTGGTGCTAGTAGTGCTAGTGGATGGTGAGGGGGTGGGTGGCTTGGTGCTAGTAGTGCTAGTGGAGGTGCGAGCGGGTGGGTGGCTGGTGCTAGTAGTGTCTAGTGGAGCGTGCGGGGGTGGGTGGCTGGTGCTAGTAGTGCTAGTGGAGGTCGCGGGGTGGGTGGTGGTGCTAGTAGTGCTAGTGGAGGTGGCGGGGTGGGATGGCTGGTGCTAGTAGTGCTAGTGGAGGGTGCGAGGGTGTGGTGGCTGGTGGTCTAGTAGTGTTAGTGAGGTGGCGGGTTGGGTGGCTGGGTGCTAGTAGTGCTAGTGTGGGCGGAGGGTGGTGGCTGGTTGCTAGTAGTGTGCTAGTGGAAGGGTGTCGGGGGTGAGGTGGTGGTGCTAGTAGTGCTAGTGGAGGGTGGCGGGGTGGGTGCTGGTGCTAGTAGTGCTAGTGAGGGTGCGGGGGTGGGTGGCTGGTGCTAGTAGTGCTAGTGGAGGTGCGCAGGGGTGGGATGGCTGGTGCTAGTAGTGTTAAGTGGAGGGTGTGCGTGCTGGTGCTAGTAGTGTAGGTGGGTGCGGGTGGTGCTGGTGCTAGTAGTGCTAGTGGAGGTGGGGGGTGGGTGGCTGGTGGCTAGTAGTGCTAGTGGTAGGAGTGCGGGTGGGTGGCTGGTGCTAGTAGTGCTAGTGGAGCGTGCGCGGGTGGGTGGCTGGTGCTAGTAGTGCTAGTGGAGGGTGCGCGGGGTGGGTGGCTGGTGCTAGTAGTGCTAGTGGAGCGTGCGCGGGGTGGATGGCTGGTGCTAGTAGTGCTAGTGGAGGGGTGCGCGGGGTGGGTGGCTGGGCTAGTAGTGCTAGTGGAGGTGCGCGGGGTGGTGGCTGGTGCTAGTAGTGCTAGTGGAGCGTGCGCGGGTGGCTGGCTGGTGCTAGTAGTGCTAGTGGAGCGTGCGCGGGGTGGCTAGCTGGTGCTAGTAGTGCTAGTGGAGGGTGCGCGGGGTGGGTGGCTGGTGCTAGTAGTGCTAGTGGAGGCGTGCGCGGGGTGGGTGGCTGGTGCTAGTAGTGCTAGTGGAGCGTGCGCGGGGTGGGTGGCTGGTGCTAGTAGTGCTAGTGGAGGGTGCTGCGGGTGGGTGGCTGGTGCTAGTAGTGCTAGTGGAGGGTGCGCGGGGTGGGTGGCTGGTGCTAGTAGTGCTAGTGGAGCGTGCGCGGGGTGGGTGGCTGGTGCTAGTAGTGCTAGTGGAGCGTGCGCGGGGTGGGTGGCTGGTGCTAGTAGTGCTAGTGGGGCGTGCGCGGGGTGGTGGCTGGTGCTAGTAGTGCTAGTTGGAGCGTGTGCGGGGTGGGTGGCTGGTGCTAGTAGTGCTAGTGGAGGCGTGCAGCGGGTGGGCTTGGCTGGTGCTAGTAGTGCTAGTGAAGGCTGCGCGGGTGGGTGGCTGGTGCTTAGTGTGCTAGTGGGCGTGCGCGGGGTGGCTGGCTGGTGCTAGTAGTGCTATGGACGGTGCGCGGGTGGGTGGCTGGTGCTAGTAGTGCTAGTGGAGCGTGCGCAGGGTGGTGGCTGTGCTAGTATGTAGTGAGTTGCGCGGGGTTGGGGCTGGTGCTAGTAGTGCTAGTGGAGCGTGCCGGGTGGGTGGCTGGTGCTAGTAGTGAGCTAGTGGATGCGGCTAGCATGTAGGAGCGTGCGCGTGGCTGGTGCTAGTAGTGCTATTGGAGCGTGCGCGGGGTGGGTAGCTGGTGCTAGTAGTGCTAGTGGGGCGTGCGCGGGGTGGGTGGCTGGTGCTAGTAGTGCTAGTGGAGCGTGCGCGGGGTGGGTGGCTGGTGCTAGTAGTGCTAGTGGAGCGTGCGCGGGGTGGGTGGCTGGAGTATTGATCAAGATAGGTGGGTGGTGAGAGGCGGGGTGGTGCCAGTATGCTCCAGGCATGCCGAGGTGAGGTAGCCAGGCTCACCACAGCCCGGCACCACCCCACTCACTCACTCTGTGCCGCCCACCACACAAACCACCCACCCCCTACCCACCACCCCACTCACTCCCACCGCCCACCTCCTGCAAGCCAGCACGCCCGCGGCCTAGTGTTCCTCGGGGCCGCCCACGCCGCCCATGACCCGCTGGTGTGGTGGACGCACTCCGGCCCCCCGCCGCCCCCGCCACCGCCACCCTGGCCCCCAACAGTATTGTCGGTAACTATGCGCTGTGCGTCAAGGGCGGGCCGGGGTTATGGTGTGTCGCCACTGTTTGCGACCCGCCTGGCGAATTGCCCCTTTTGTTATACTTCTTCCACATCTCCTGCTTTCCCTAGTCCTCGCCACCACCCACAGGCCGCCCTCTAACACGCCCACACTACCCTACACGCCCACGCCGCCACCCACCACCCACCTACACACCCACAACAACTTCCACCAACTACTACCCGAGAGGACGGGGCAGTGTGCGGCAGTGGCTCCCTTAGATGCTACCAGCTCCGACAACCTAACGCCCGAGAAATTAGAAGGAGAGTGCCAAACCTGCGGTGTAAACGAGGGGCACTGTGACCGGCGGGGCAAAACGTGCCCGACGTTTTCCGAGGTCTTGTGCTCCAAGGAGGAACGCCGGGAGGAAACCATCCGTCGAGTCACGCTGCGCTACTGTCCGCACATGACGTTGCGCTCCGTGATGTGCGACCAGCAGGTGGAAAGTGTCACCAACACGTCACAACCAGGGTGTTCGACAGTGGCTAGACACTTACAGGAGATGGATAACTTGGTGGGCCGTGTCTTGCACCAACACCAGGCACTTATATCCAAGTATAACTGTGACCATCCTTACTCCATTACTCAGACCTGCTCTGCTTGTAAGGTAAGATCACACACCTCTCTCACTCTTTCTAGTATAACTCTATGAAGTGTTTTTCTGGCACATCTCTAGGGCACAGTCCAGTCTCCAACACAACTCTAGGACACAGTCCAGCTCTCCAACACAGCTCAAGGGCACAGTCCAGCACTCCAACACAACTCTAGGACACAGTCCAGCACTCCAACACAACTCTAGGACACAGTCCAACTCTCCAACACAACTCTAGGACACAGTCCAGCACTCCAACACAACTCTAGGACACAGTCCAACTCTCCAACACAACTCTAGGACACAGTCCAGCTCTCCAACACAACTCTAGGACACACTCCAGCTCTCCAACACAACTCAAGGGCACAGTCCAGCTCTCCATCACAACTCTAGGACACATTCCGGCTCTCCGCCACAACTCTATAGCACAGTTTAGTTCTCCAACACAACTCTACGACACAGTCCAGCTCACCAACACAACTCAAGGGCACAGTCCAGCTCTCCAGCAGAACTCTAGGACACACTCCAGCTCACCAACACAACTCTGGTACACAGTCCAGTTCTCCAACACAACTCTAGTACACAGTCCAGCTCTCCATCACAACTCTAGGACACAGTCCAGCTCTCAAGCACAACTCTATGGCACGGTCCAGCTCTCTATCACAACTCTAGGACACAGTCCAACTCTCCAACACAATTATAGGGCACAGTCCAGCTCTCCAACACTACTCTAGTACACAGTCCACCTCTCCAACACAACTCTAGTACACAGTCCAGCTCTCCAACAGAGCTCTAGGACACAGCCCAGCTCACCAACACAACTCTAGTACACAGTCCAGTTCACCAACACAACTCTAGTACACAGTCCAGTTCACCAACACAACTCTAGTACACAGTCCAGTTCTTCAACACACACTAGAGCACAGTTCAGCTCACTAACACACTTCTAGGACACACCGCAGCTCACCAACACACTAGTACACAGCCCAGCTCACCAGTACACCACCGGGACAGAACCCAGCTCACCAACTCACCACTAGGATAGAGCCCAGCTCACCAACACGCCACTAGTACAAAATCCAGCTCACTAACACACCACTAGGACAGAACCCAGCTTACCAACACACCACTAGGAGAGAGCCCAGCTCACCAACACACCACTAGGATAGAGCCTAGCTCACCAACACACCACTAGGAGAGAGCCCAGCTCACCAACACACCACCAGGATACATCCCAGCTCACCAACACACCACTAGTACACAGCCCAACTCATCAACACACCACTAAAATACAGCCCAACTCACCAACACACCACTAAGATAGAGCCCAGCTCACCAACTCACCACTAGTACACAGCCCAACTCACCAACACACCACTAAGATAGAGCCCAGCTCACCAACTCACCACTAGTACCAGCCCAAACTCACCAACACACCACTAGTACACAGCCCACTCACCAACACACCACTAAGATACAGCCCAACTCACTAACACACCACTAGTACACAGCCCAACTCACCAACACACTACTAAGATACAGCCCAGCTCACTAACACACCACTAGTACACAGCCCAACTCACCAACACACCACTAAGATACAGCCCAGCTCACTAACACACCACTAGTACACAGCCCAGCTCACCAGCACACTACTAAGATACAGCCCAGCTCACCAACACACCACTAGGAGAGAGCCCAGCTCACCAACTCACCACCAGGATACATCCCAGCTCACCAACACACCACTAGGAGAGAGCCCAGCTCACCAACTCACCACCAGGATACATCCCAACTCACCAACACACCACTAAGATACAGCCCAGCTCACCAACACGCTTCTAACACACATCTCTCCACACAAACCTCTCACACACCTCACAAACACCGATCACAAACACTGACAAACACCAGAGTAACAATTTCCGGGGCTGGACACGGCGTAGAGAGCCGCCATCTTTGGCCCGTGCAACAGCAAGAGCCCAGAACTCATTGAAGCTCTCTGGGAGCTCTTACCTCTCCTCTCATCCACCTGGTCAACCAACCAGTGGATGACCAGTCCTGAACACCCAACATAACTGTGGAAGAAGCTTTGTGTGTGGCCTCAGGCTCACAGGGGCTCTATAGAGCTCTATAGAGGCCCTGGTACTTGATAAAACCCCTAATACGTGGCAAAGTCTACTGTGGGGATAAAGCCTCCACTGTGGGTGATAAAGCCTCCACTGTGGGTGATAAAGCCTCCACTGTGGGTGATAAAGTCTCCACCGTGGGTGATAAAGCCTCCATTGAGGGTGATAAAGCCTCCACTGTGGGTGATAAAGCCTCCACTGTGGGTGATAAAGCCTCACTGTGGGTGATAAAGCCCCCACTGTGGGTGATAAAGCCTCAATGTGGGTGATAAACCCTCCACTGTGGGTGATAAAGCATCACTGTGGGTGATAAAGCCTCCACTGTGGGTGATAAAGCCTCCACTGTGGGTGATAAAGCCTCCACTGTGGGTGATAAAGCTTCACTGTGGGTAATAAAGCTTCACTGTGGGTGATAAAGCTTCACTGTGGGTGATAAAGCCTCCACTGTGGGTGATAAAGCCTCACTGTGGGTAATAAAGCTTCACTGTGGGTGATAAAGCCTCCACTGTGGGTGATAAAGCTTCACTGTGGGTGATAAAGCCTCCACTGTGGGTGATAAAGCCTCACTGTGGGTGATAAAGCTTCACTGTGAGTGATAAAGCCTCCACTGTGGGTGATAAAGCCTCACTGTGGGTAATAAAGCTTCACTGTGGGTGATAAAGCCTCCACTGTGGGTGATAAAGCTTCACTGTGGGTAATAAAGCCTCACTGTGGGTGATAAAGCTTCACTGTGGGTGATAAAGCTTTACTGTGGGTGATAAAGCCTCACTGTGGGTGATAAAGCTTTACTGTGGGTGATAAAGCCTCCACTGTGGGTGATAAAGCCTCCACTGTGGGTGATAAAGCCTCACTGTGGGTGATAAAGCCTCACTGTGGGTGATAAAGCCTCACTGTGGGTGATAAAGCTTTACTGTGGGTGATAAAGCCTCCACTGTGGGTGATAAAGCCTCCATGTACATGTGGGTGATAAAGCCCTCACTGTGGGTGATAAAGCCTCCACTGTGGGTGATAAAGCCTCCACTGTGGGTGATAAAGCCTCACTGAGGGTGATAAAGCCTCACTGTGGGTGATAAAGCCTCACTGTGGGTGATAAAGCTTCACTGTGGGTGATAAAGCCTCACTGTGGGTGATAAAGCCTCTACTGTGGGTGATAAAGCCTCACTGTGGGTGATAAAGCCTCACTGAGGGTGATAAAGCTTCACTGTGGGTGATAAAGCCTCACTGTGGGTGATAAAGCCTCACTGAGGGTGATAAAGCCTCACTGAGGGTGATAAAGCCTCACTGAGGGTGATAAAGCTTCACTGTGGGTGATAAAGCCTCACTGAGGGTGATAAAGCCTCACTGAGGGTGATAAAGCCTCCACTGTGGGTGATAAAGCCTCACTGAGGGTGATAAAGCCTCACTGTGGGTGATATTATAAAGCCTCACTGTGGGTGATAAAGCCTCACTGAGGGTGATAAAGCCTCACTGTGGGTGATAAAGCCTCACTGAGGGTGATAAAGCCTCACTGTGGGTGATAAAGCCTCCACTGTGGGTGATAAAGCCTCACTGTGGGTGATAAAGCCTCACTGTGGGTGATAAAGCCTCACTGTGGGTGATAAAGCCTCTACTGTGGGTGATAAAGCCTCACTGTGGGTGATAAAGCCTCACTGAGGGTGATAAAGCTTCACTGAGGGTGATAAAGCCTCACTGTGGGTGATAAAGCCTCACTGTGGGTGATAAAGCCTCACTGAGGGTGATAAAGCCTCACTGAGGGTGATAAAGCCTCCACTGTGGGTGATAAAGCCTCACTGTGGGTGATAAAGCCTCACTGGGGTGAAAAGCCTCCACTGTGGGTGATAAAGCCTCACGAGGGTGATAAAGCCTCCACTGTGGGTGATAAAGCCTCACTGATGGGTGATAAAGCCTCACTGTGGGTGATAAAGCCTCACTGAGGGTGATAAAGCCTCACTGTAGGGTGATAAAGAGCCTCACTGAGGGTGATAAAGCTTCACTGTGGGTGATAAAGCCTCACTGAGGGTGATAAAGCCTCACTGAGGGTGATAAAGCCTCACTGAGGGTGATAAAGCCTCACTGAGGGTGATTAAAGCCTCACTGAGGGTGTATAAAGCTTCACTGTGGGTGATAAAGCACTCACTGGGGTGATAAAGCCTCACTGAGGGTGATAAAGCCTCACTGAGGGTGATAAAGCCTCACTGTGGGTGATAAAGCCTCACTGAGGGTGATAAAGCCTCACTGTGGGTGATAAAGCCTCACTGAGGGTGATAAAGCCTCACTGAGGGTGATAAAGCCTCCACTGTGGGTGATAAAGCCTCACTGTGGGTGATAAAGCCTCACTGAGGGTGATAAAGCCTCACTGTGGGTGATAAAGCCTCACTGAGGGTGATAAAGCCTCACTGAGGGTGTATAAAGCCTCACTGAGGGTGATAAAGCCTCCACTGTGGGTGATAAAGCCTCACTGTGGGTGATAAAGCCTCCACTGAGGGTGATAAAGCCTCACTGAGGGTGATAAAGCCTCCACTGTGGGTGATAAAGCCTCACTGTGGGTGATAAAGCCTCACTGTGGGTGATAAAGCCTCACTGTGGGTGATAAAGCCTCACTGAGGGTGATAAAGCCTCACTGAGGGTGATAAAGCCTCACTGTGGGTGATAAAGCCTCACTGTGGGTGATAAAGCCTCACTGTGGGTGATAAAGCCTCACTGAGGGTGATATAAAGCCTCACTGTGGGTGATAAAGCCTCACTGAGGGCTGTGATAAAGCTTCACTGTGGGTGATAAAGCCTCACTGTGGGTGATAAAGCCTCCACTGTGGGTGATAAAGCCTCACTGTGGGTAATAAAGCTTCACTGTGGGTGATAAAGCCTCACTGTGGGTGATAAAGCCTCACTGAGGGTGATAAAGCTTCACCTGGGGTGATAAAGCCTCACTGAGGGTGATAAAGTTCCAATAAAGGGTTAGTTTATTGGTATCCCCCACTACAAGACTAAATATCCCCAGCATTACTTCAAGACTAAGTATCCTTCAGTAGTACTACAAGATTAGGTATCCCCAGTAGTACTACAAGACTAGGTATCCCCAGTAGTACTACAAGACTAGGTATCCCCAGTAGTACTACAAGACTAGGTATCCCCCAGTAGTACTACAAGACTAGGTATCCCCAGTAGTACTACAAGACTAGGTATCCCCAGTAGTACTACAAGACTAGGTATCCCCAGTAAGTACTACAATACTAGGTATCCACCAGTAGTACTACAAGACTAGGTATCCCCAGTAGTACTACAAAACTAGGTAACCCAGTAGTACTACAAGACTAGGTATCCCCAGTAGTACTAACAGACTGGTAATCCCCTAGTAGTACTACAAGACTAGGTATCCCCCGGTAGTACTACAAGACTAGGTATCCCCAGTAGTACTACAAGACTAGTTATCCCCCAGTAGTACTACAAGACTAGGTATCCCCCAGTAGTACTACAAGACTCGGTATCCCCCAGTAGTACTACAAGACTAGGTATCCCCCAGTAGTACTAAAGAATCGGTATCCCCCCAGATCAGTACCCTCTACAAGACTAGGTATCCCC